TTGGAGAAAGCGTAATTTAAGACGAGGTTTTCCGATTTCCTCGATTATCTTGGCCTCTTTGGAGTCGAACGGGTCTATGCGCGACACTTACCTACCTCAATGTTTAACATTCCTCCGGGAAATCATTGCCGCATGGCGGTCGCTTAATTAGCAAGGTTACTTATTAATTGGGGAGGTATTTCTAGATGAAGTCGTTTAACTGGATGTGGATTGGTTCGACGGTGTGCGGGGAGAGTTTATAATTAGAGCGACGAGGTCTCGCAAAAGAGACCCCGAGCCGGAAATATTCCAAATATTTGGAATCCCGAAGGAGTAGCAAAGATCGTTTTTCTTGGTACCGCGATATGTAGACACAAGTCCATGTTTAATTAATTTCCGATTCCATTCACCTGTTAATTACTCTTACCGCGATGGCGGGTAATAAATATAATACGAAAGCTTTTCGCGTGACCGGGGATAAATAATTCCTTCTGGATTCTCAATAATTTGAAAAGCTGTCAGTCGTCTGGATTATGGGAAGGCTTCGACGAAACTTGAGAGAAAATATTTAAGAGTGCATCCTCTGCGGTGCTTTAAGCTCCGATTCTCATACCCTAGTTACAGCAGTTAGAAGTAGAAACGTGAAACGTGAGATATAAAAATATTAATATCTCCGAAGTATCCCCTCGAGCCGACCATTTTTTACATTCGGAGTGCGTGTTTTCTTTCGCTCTCCGGCTGAAAAAAAAAATGTGAGGTACACTTTTAAGAGTGAACTAATTCCCTTTTTACTCCCCTCTTATCCTTATTTTCTCTCGTATTTCACCGCTGGTTCCCTGAAATGTGGAAAACCTCCGCGTTGGATCGGCAAAGCGGATAAATCGGTGTCTCGCTTGTAAAGTGTCTCTCCTTGGTGTTCGCGTGTGGATGAACCTTGCAACCCGTTCTTACTGCAATTCAATCGTAACAGAGATCAGTGCGTTGCAACAGTTTCTACTAACCGATATCACTTGCTCGTCTGCGTGAATTTGCGGAAAGCAGGCGACAGGACCGAAAGGGTGCTTTCAAGAGTTCTGGCGAGTGATAAGGCGAAGCATTTCCTAGATAGGAGAACCCTACGACGCCTGAAGCTTCTTTTCCCTGGCGAGTTCGAGAAATATTGTTTTCGCTCGAGGAGCTGGCTGAAAAGCCCAGTTGCAGTCTTGGCCTCGCAAAAAAGCCGAGAGTTTCGGGCCTGAGAAATTAGGTCGCTCCGGGCTAAAATTTGGGGCTTAAAGCCTGGCCACGTGCATTCTACATAATGAACTCTGAATTATGCACCTTTCATGCCAACCGACCTCTGGCGTCTCGTATCTCTTTATCTTTCAACCCGGTTCTCATGAGCGACGTGCCTAGGAACGACCTAAGGCTGGATTAAAGAGCAGTTTCCACCGTGGCTTTCCTTTTTCCTGCCCCGCGGACATTTGCAATCTTTTATGGCGTTCATTTGGCCTATCGCGTTAATTGCAACGTTTGCATTTAACTTCTTCCTAGCTCGAAGATAAGAATGCGAAATATCCAGACCGATCAGATATTTTCGTTGTTACCTACCCATCTGTATTGCATTCCTTCATTTTCCTAGGAAGCTAATTTTGATTATAAGTCCGTCCATTTATATTCTATCGAAGTTATCAAATTAATCACTAGTCCTGCCCTAATACATGCACCGCACCGTGATAAACGCCATTTCTCTCCTAGACCAGAAAATCTCTGACATAAATTTCTCCTCATTGATCGTCATTATTTGCATCGCCGTTGATATCGACATCAACGCAATGATTATAATTAGCATCATGGTTCGAGCTCCGTGCGGCTGTATTATCATGGTAAATTGAGTCTCCCACAAAAGCGCAACACAAAAGGAATACTTTCCCTTTGTCCGAGCACAATGTACTCTTCATTTCGTGGGTGTATCTTGAAGCGGAGAAACTCTGGCTATACAGATTGAGCTAAGCACGAGGCTGGGGAAAGAAAGGGTAAGAAAACCACGCTTTCCACAACGACAAAGTCGGCCCGCGAGCATCGCGAGCACGACCTCGCAGATTGCAAAATTATGTGCTTCTTTAATTGCAGGTTTGCTCTGTTAAAAAAATCGGCGAATTTCCTTCCAGACGAAATCTAAGAGTCTGACATCCCTGACTGATGCCATTTATTGTGCCTTTCTAAAGGGGTAGTGCCAAAACTTTTAAAAATGCTCATATGAAAACCTAATTTCCTAGAGAGATATTTCATGTCAAATTAAGAGTGAACCTAGCTACCGGTAACTGCGTTTTACTGCAAGTGTGTATTGTGTACTTGACGTAACGAGTGGATGTCTAAATATTTTTTAACTTCGCGTCACCTCGCTAGAAGTCATCAAACACCCTTTCGGACGAGAACTACAAGTTGTCCTAATTTCTCTAAACACGATAGGCAATTCCCGAAGCTCGTTTCACGCAAATCGATAAAACGGAGCGAAAAAGAGAAAGGAAGGGGAATCTCCAAGAATTTTCAGAGGATGGATCAATAAATAATAAAATTCCATAATTCACTGTCAGGCAAGAAATGCAGGAGCTTCCGACGAAGATTATATTTTAATACGGATAATTATGTTTAAATCCGACGAGACGGGTCCAATGTGTACAGATTAAGTAATTAGAGTTAGTGGAAATTGGGCGACAGCTTTACGTGCCTGTCGCGGAAAATATGTCGAGGACACTTCGAGATTTAAAGTAGCCTCTCCTCTTAAGCACCTAGTTTCGTAATGAATGTAATTACTCGTATTTGAGCTTTCCCTTACTTCCCCTTCCTGTCTCTCTTTCAGTCCCTCTCTCTCTCGATTCCCTTCTCTCTCCCTCACTTCCCTCTTACTTTCTACGCGTAATGTCTACAAGCTATTAGCAGACTCCATATTGCAGTGCCTCGCTTCGGTCCAACCAATTATTTTCGGCAAGCTTCAATCAGCGAAGCTCAATTGCCACTCAAGGCGATACAATGCCGAGCCAAAAGCTTACCGATCGCCTAAATATCGGTCGAGTGATTTGAATGGACGCTGTGCTCGGTAATATACAATAATTACCCAAAAAATTATCATTTACCAAAATATTATTATCAACACTACGTCTTGATACTTTTGGTAATTTCAAATATAATTGATACTATCTAGCTCCGAGGTGTATAATAAACGCAATCGGATATATCTGGGATCAAACTGAAATTCGATGAAATTTACCAAATATTATCTACATTTCATTATTAGTAATACTTTAAAGGAAACGAGGATATAGTACAAATCGCGATAAACGCGCCTTAGACGGAACAGTAGTTTCAGAGACGTTAAGCCAGACGCGGTCCTGCAACGCTGAACCAAGTAGAAGTAGAACTGGAGTGACAATGGTCAGACATTTCTTCGAACGCATACATTTCATGTTGTTTTAGAAAATCAGTTAGTGCACTTCCTGCAATGCTTATTATTAGTCGTGAATAGAGAAATGTAGTTACAGGATCCACACGTATCGCGTCAATGACTCCGTTAAACGCGTTGCTAATTGTCGTCCAAATTAGGGGGCACTTTGAAGGGCCGTTAACAAAAGAAGAACGCGCGATAGCGAGTGATAATTGCGAACCGCGTAAATTCATTGCCTTTAACGGAAGATTCACCAAACGTGCGGAAACGATAATGTTGACGTCGCGCTTATCCCGACGCGTGAAAAGTCGCGAGGTTCGGTTCCTGGAGACAAAGCCACGAGACCGAGGGCTCCGTCAATGGACATTCGTGCCAAGTAGAACAATATTCCCGGATCGAAGCATACCCGGAGAAACCACCCCAACAATGCATTATATGCTCGTACAGAGTTGAAGCAGGGAGACCGCGCCCATTCCGTCAGTCGGCAAATTCGGAACGATTGAACAGAAAGCGACTTTATGCAGACATTCCCGCGAATACACACGGGGAACACAAAGCCGCCGATACACCAGGGAGCAAATCGCGTCACTGTCTGGTTAAACTGGAGCACCGAGCGCAGCGTCGCTTATTCAAAGACCTCGAGCCTTAAGCTGGACAAAGAAGTCCGCAAAGCGGAGCCAGGGGGACGAGAGGTGCCGGAGCTTCCAGGAGGTCGGGGAACCTCGAAATCCGAAAATCTGGGAACCTCGAACTACAAGGGCCCTTAGAGAGGGTCCTTAGTCGGGATTTGCAGGGGCGCGTGTGAGGAATTATCCGAGCAAGAGGCGAGGAGAACCTCCCTCTCCATGGCGGATGGATTACGTCCTCCAGATCCGCCTTTCCTCGGAGAAATCCCTTTTTCACGCCGAAACGAACCGTGGAAAAGATCCCTGTTCTGGTATCTCTTCGCCGCCCTAGGTTCACCCTTAATCCCCGGGCCATTAAGGGCGACTTTCGCGGGCTCCGGTACTTGTTGCGCCCCCGAGGCTCGCCTTGCGAACTGCCCTAGGACACCGATCTCCAGGGTAACGGTGAGGTACTTCCTGGTGAGCTAAACTCCACGAAGATGTCAAACACAGGGCGAAAAGTAGTACGAAGGACAAGTTAGACAAGAATTTGTTAATTAGGATATTAATATTGGAGAATTGATACATGGAATCGAATCGCCGGGAATGGATGCGAAAATACGTCCAAAGTTGCGTGCAAAACTGGAATTTTGAGATCTAACTTGTTTTAGAAAATTTATTCCACGCTTTTTATACCTCGTTTTATATCTTCTGCCAAGAATCTTCATCACGCGTTCGTGGACAACTGTGAGAAATCGCACTTTAGATCCGCCTGTTTGAAATTGTTCATATTTAAATAAATATACAGGGTGCGTTCTTGCGAATCCCTTTTATTGGCTCTACTTGTGGGTCGACGAGATCGGTCTTAGATCATGAAAAGCTCGAAGAAGAGTCTCGTCTAGAGTTGCCGGAGAGATCGGTGCTCTAAATTGTCGCCCTACGCCTAGCCCTGTGCCTAGTTCCCTCTAGGCTTGAAGGAGAATGAATTGTACCGGTTCGCCGAGGGGTGAGCAGTGAACTGTGGTTGTGTGGTGCTGTGTGGTGGTAGTGCCGATGATGTTTGAGGTGCTCGGGGTTGTCGGGGTCAGTGGGTTCGAGGTCGGGGGTGTAGTCATCTTGGCGCGTGTGGGGCGGGGGCCTCAGTGTACCTTGGACCGGGGGCAGGAGTCGCTTGTCGTACCGCGTCGACAGTAGCAGGTTGTCCAGGATCTCCTTGTCCGACTTTCCCTCTTCGAAGCTGCAACATGACGGACTGTAACGACCGGAGGCCCCCAGGACCACCTAAGGCCCCCGGGAGCCAAAAGGGGTGGTCTCACCTCTGGTGGAACCGTTTCAGAGAACTCAAAAGCAACTCTCTTCCGAAACCGAACCCGCCGAACTCTCGATTTCTCGTTATTCGATCATCGCTAATGCCGGGAATCGTCAACCATAACTTTCACCCTTATATAACAGAGTCATCTAACAAGGAGAACCAAACGTTCACTCGGTAAAAATTATTATTTAGAGTTTATTAGATGTCTAAACTTCGAATTGTTCCAGGCATTTACGAAAAATGAGAAATAACGAGACATCAAAATGTCGGTAAACTTGTGTCGGCGTAAGTCACTTGCGAAACGATTTTTATAGAGTTCATCAGGATCGCAGTTCTTAGATCGCGGTTTTTTAGACTCTTAGGTAATGAATTAGGATTGATCAAACTTTGCGCTGCGGTCTGGCTCCGGCTCGTCCGCAAAGGCAAAAGGCCGAAAGGAGTTTGGTTAGATGTTGAGATCGTGGTCCGAATGTTTCCGTTGACATTGACGTCTCGTTTCACTGAATTCAGAGTCGGGTGAAACGGAGATGAATCGTCCCGAGCCATGCCGCACAGCCTGAATCAACCTTTACCCCTCGCGGAAAAGACGCGCCCTTAAAAAAGACACCCTCTGCCAGGCCAGAATCAGTCGTTGCATATTCATTCTCTGCCCGGCGAGCGTCGCTCCTTTCAAACGGACCAAAAAAGGGATTACTTCCGCCCTGGCACTGAATTAAGTGACACCACGGCCGTGAAATTGGGGCAATTTGCTCGCCTTCTAATTTTCGTATTTAACCTACGAACACTTTTAACTCTAATTTTGGGCCTATCAAATTTACGGTGTAAAATGTATGGACAAGAATGGTGGCTTTCGAATCCGACTAAATTATAGAGCTCTCGGTTTATTCATTGTATTTGTGGACGATCTTTGCAATGACTGCGGCATATGATCGCATATCACGTCCTAGACTATATTTTTTTAATCTCTTCTGCCATTGATTGAATTTTTTCTAGAGAAATTCTATAAACGCGACGATTCGAACGGTCGACGGGAGACACGCCGAGAGTTTCCATCGAAGCTATCGCCATTTGCTGAATGAAAGGCAAACACTTCTCATTTTTTACCAAGTATGACGATATGAATGATTTAGCGTCGTGGTCGTCAACGGTAGCCGTTGACTGTGTCTCATGCACGCGACATTATTTTACCCCCACCCTCGTCGGCCTACCACTTGCTAGTAAATCGGTGCATCTGACAAATGACACGTTGCATGTATGAAATATCGATCGCACGCGACAGGGAGAGCTGCTCCTGGAAGCCGAAGCTCAATAGTGCAAACGCGAACAATCCTCATTGCCGTAATCCCGTTTTATAGTCGCCATTACGAGCAATGGCCACTAATCGAGTAATTCTGCCCTGAGACCTTTGAAATGACAATTCAATTTAATTGACCATTTCATCCACGGTTACCGAGGCTCCCTAAACCCTCGATCGAGGACTTCCCATCTCTCCTATTTATACAACAGCTCGCAATTACTCCAGTTATCAGCTATCAAGGATCTTCCTAGAACCCGAAACGAAAGCCACCCACTACAAACATTTTGCCCCTCGTCCATACATTTTGCATCGATACTAGGCCAACGCATTCTGCCACCTGATATTTGGAAGCTGAATACGTCATTTCATAGAGGATCTCGCATTTAATCAGCCCCATTTCCCGTCCCAATTAGGCTGCACCCTATCGCGCCTAATGGGCGATCTTGGACCGAACCGGGGACCCATCGATCCATTGATCTCCCCGTAAAGTTCGTAATTAACCGTAAGTAACGGTGGACATCAACCTGGAAGACACCCTTGGCCGATTTCCGAATCGAATCTTAAAATCGGAAATTCATTTTAAATCGTCAGGAATCATCGAGAGTCCTTTTCGGTTCTATTCTTCAGTTTTTCACGACTGGACTCGCCAGGTGGCGAATCGTCTTTCGAAGATTAGGGGCGCCGGTTCGCGGCGATGGTGCGTTATCAAGAGACCCTTGATTACGCGATACAGGCTCGTCGTATACGTACATGTTCTCGGCACGCACAAGGGTGGCCAGGGTGAGGGCGAGGGTGAGGACGCAGAAGGTGCCGAGGGTCAGGGAGCTGGCGAGGGAGGCGAGAGACAGCGAGAGGATGGGTGAGAGGCGTCCGCCACCACCCACACGCCGCCCTAGCGCCACCCAACCCATTCTATGTCATCTGGAACAGACAAAATGTCACACCTTGTAATCCCTACGAACACCCTGTCTCGTTAAACGTGAATTACGGAACGTTGCATAGTTTATTAAAAAACATGTTCCGAAGTTATATCCACCCACCCAAGAGGGTGCGACCCAATGACCCAACAAGACCATTCAATATCAAATCCAGGATTTTATCATCTCCTCTAACGATTCTCTAAGAGGATGCGAAAGTGACGCCTGAGACGGTCAGTTCATGAAACCTTTCTGCAAAATCGACCCATCGAATCGGTGGACATTTTATCACAATGTGGAAGCCCCAAGGAAGATTCCCACACCTACAAAATTTTCAAAATGTCCATGAACAAATTTTTTAAAAGTTCCCATTTTGTGGGTGTCGGGTCCTTCCTTAGGACCTTCATATTTGCGTGGCGAAGTTTGAAACGATTCGGTTCACCCAGTTCGGAGAAAAGTTTCATGAGAGACCTCTTCTCCGCCGCTTTCACGTCACAACACCTTAATGATGAGATTATATGGCCGATTGAATATTTAAATCAGACCGAGTTTTCATCTGTGAGTTATTTCCTCGTCCACTTGATGCGGAAAATTTGAAATTCCTATTTTTCTTTAACGCCCTGCTGCGTTAGTGGTATTGTGCCACCTGTAGTTGAAGGTTCTTACGGTCGTAGAAAATGGGAGAATCAGGGACTTTATATTTGACAATCTGAGGATAATAGTTCATTGTTTAAAGGATGTCTGTCGTAAGTACGGAAAGCGGTGAAGGGGTCGGGCCGTGTTGACGGAACATGTTTTCTGGACAAATGGTCACCTCTGGAGAGCAATTGTCTTCGATTGATCGCCGGGCTCTCCTCCGGTGAACTTCCGGATCCAGAAGTTTTACCTGCGCAAACTTCTACCCGAAGTTCCGCGAAGTTTGGTACGAGTTCGAAGTCTGGCAGACGTTGGAAGTTCAGGGCGCGGAATAAGAAGCGACGTCGACGGCTCCCCCAGGACGCCATTGTAGACTCATCTAGATGGCGATCTGCACGAAAATCCGGAATGCCAAAGGATCCAAGGATCTGACTTGCGGCGAAACAAAGGGCAGCGAGGTTCCCTCAATTTCGAATTTCCGGTGAAACCTCTTGGACTTTCGTAATCGACGGAGACTGAGGAATTCTGAAGTGCAGGAGGAGAACACTAGTTTCCTTTCGTGTCCAGAGGATAAAAACAATTTATATCTTACCCCTTAAGACAATTCACCCTCATTGAATCCTTATCAACGAAATTATGTCGACATATCTACCGAGACAAAAGAAAGCAAACGTTCCTGGCGAAGGACGAGAACCCAAGAGACGAATCATGAATACCAAAAAAATCGGCAAAATATCCGCTGTCCAACAATGGATGTACAATCAATTTGCACTTACAGTCAATGCAGATTGAATGGAAATCTGCTCGTGGAAGAATTTATGGGAATTTCCCATAAACGGACGGCGCGTCCGACATGAGAGAACAACCCCCTCCGGTACCTTTATTCAACTATTTCGACATTCCGGAGCCAGAAGACGGCCACACCGGAAATGTACTTTCGCGTCCACACATACACAAATGTCGGAACATGCCCCACGGAAATTCGGGAAACTCGGTTCTCCGGAATGAGTTTGCACGAGCGGGTGAAACGCACAGGAAGAAAATCGAATCGCGGCTCAAGGCCGTTCGGATGTTGAAGCTCCATCCAGCCTCCCGTTTCGGGATCGCTCCTTCGGGGTCCGATTACGCTTATATTCCCGCTGGAAAACGATAAAGCGTAAACAACCTAGACGAGGTCTTCTTAATCGCCCCAATTTCGCAAAAGCCGGGACGGATGAGACGTGGAAAACATCCCTGGAAGTACACGTTTGGATGCCGTCCTTGCTTAAACGACGATCAAACTCCCAAGAATTTCATTACGCAGTCCGGCCGCGTCCGAATCGCTCTTTTTACTCGAAATTCTTCCGCGCGAACCTGGCCATATAAAAGAGGCAGAGCACCTTGGACAGGGACAAAGAGATTTTTCGAATTTCGTGAATGTTTTACGAGATTTCACGAGCGCAGGGAAATATTTCCAAGAGCAGCCTGGAACGCGCCCCTAATTTTTGCAACGAGCTTAACGCGTTCTCTTGATATACGTAATTGAGTATAACCTAAAAACTTGTAGCAGCCCTTCTCTGCGGTATTTCCGCCTCCGATCCCCCGCGTTTCCCACCACGGTCTGGGGCTTCTAATCTGGATGTAAGTTATTTCTCCAGGAAAGACGATATTTCTCTGGGAGGGAGCTTTAGTAATAAAGCCTGTCCGACTGGAAATGTTCCCTCATCGTAAGAGGGGTTCGGTCTATCGAGGTAAATCATTCCCTTTGACAAGAGCCGAGGTTGATTTCACGGTGGGAAGGAAACGTCGGTCCTACTGCATCAAAGTCCTGGAGTGATCGACATCCCTCGGGACAATTCCTGGTTAAAACGGATAAATCTGATTTTCACTTATACCGAACGCTTAATATTGGCTCTCGAGGTCTTCCTAAACTGATTTCTTGTTTTCGGCCTGCGAGGGAAGAATTCAATTTCCCGTGAAATGCGGAGAACCAACCTTAGCGTGCAACCATAAGGCTTCCAATTCCGATATAACTTATTTCGCGTGAATAGACGGGAGGGGTATTTCTATTTGCAGGAGAGACACACGAAAGGTATTCCTCCGCTACCCGAGCTTTCTTGGGAGGAAAATCAATTTCTTTGTATCATAACCGGGACACTGGGTTCTCCTCTGGGAGGCGTAACGAGGCCGAATTTCTCATGTGCCTGGCAAATTCTCGTTCCAGTCCTGAGACCGTTTCGTTCCTCCTTTCAGAGTTTTCCGGGCAGGACGTCGCGAGGAAGATTAATCTCAAAGGCGAGGTCGATTTTTTGGGGGCGTTTTCATGAATCCGTGAACGTCTTGCCTTAATCGGACCTCCCAGGGACGTGGGAATCGTAAAAAGGCACGAAGGGCCTAGCGGAATTGCGAGGTTTGCCGTTTCCGCCCCGAACCGGAAATAACGTTCCGCCTCGCGATTGTCTCGAGCTTTAATTTCCCGGACTCGTCGGAAGATCCGGTCGGTTAATGTGACACCGAAAGGACATTTTAAGCTCGGTTTAAGCGTTTAAGGATACCCCGGTGTGTCTCGTTACCTGCACTTATGCTCATTACGTTTATTACCCTGCCCACGTACAGAGAAGCGGAGATCAAGGCAAATCAGGCTGGGAACGCGAGATGATTTAAACCCTTCTGTATACACGCTGCCATTAAAATTTATCTAGAAAAGCATAAATACGTTGCTCGGTTTTACACAAACGGTAAACGCATGCATCCGCAATTAAATTTCATAACAATAGCGGGGGTGCGTTTCTCAAATTTCCATATTCTTCTCTTTCCAGGTCGCACCCAAAAAGCGGTGGATTTTTGTGATACCCTCAAAAATCCAGAATCTGACTTAAATTAATGCTTTTCATCTCTGTTAATGCCTTGCGGGCACATTGCACGTTTGGTACTGCTGTAAAGGATCATTTTTTACGTTATTTCATATACCTTTCGCACACGATGGAAAGCTCTCGGGAGATTTTATGAAACAGTCTGTCAGACAAAATTGTGATCATTTTTCTTTATAATTTATTGCCCGGTCTAGGGTGAGAGCGTTATTGGATCCACGTGGACAATAGTTTCGTTATTGGAACGTCATATCAGAACTTTTGGAAACGAAAAGAGAAGGGGATGAATACTTTTGGTTTTTTTAAAGTGCTAACTAATGCGTATACGAAAATAGAATCGCTGTGCGATAACAATGGCATTCATCGAGATGGAGTTTGAGCGAAATATGATTGAAATGGGCTTTGCGCCGTTCCGGAGATTAAAATATGTATCATTTAATTTTCCTCGAGGATCGACAGAAATAATAAACGATTCGATTCTTCTCTAGGTAGAGTCGAAACATAGCCAGTTGCTTTAATTCATTCCGGAATATGTATATCACGCGCCAGTGAAAATACAATTTAATATTTACGCTTTCAATCTACAAAGTCATTTGGATAATGACGTTTCGGTTCATCCGAAGGCTGCGCGATAACGTATTTATATTTTCCTCGTTTCATTTCCGAACGAGGCGGGAAAACGTCCTCGCGAGATTTCAATCCTTGGCAAGAAACGCCGAAGGAAATTAAAAATTCAACTCGTTCAAGCTTCCCTCGTGAAGAAGTGATTTGCTCTCTGAAGACCTCTCGAGCAGAAAATACTTCCTCCGTCTATCTACAAACTCCTCAATTTTTCTTCCATTTTCCTTCCTCCCTTCAAGGTCTGAAAATACGTAAGTAATCTCTTAAAAATTGTTCATGGGATTATTTAAGCATCTTCGGGTCATTTTTAATTTTCCGAGATTTTTTGGTAGAGTTCATGAAATGGTCTTGGTGATCATTATTTTCACGTTTCATTATGGAAATATAAATGACGCCTTGCATGTCAATTCCGTTCCCTTGGTTTCATGTCGTCCTTTTTGATCAGAGGGGCACAGCTTTTTCCGAAACGGAAAAAAAATGGCAGAAGTATGCCATTTTTTTGTGGGTCTCGACCCGCGTGAAAATCGCGGGTCGAGACCCACTGCTGACAGAGTCGAACGCAGTTTCAGTCAGCGGAAATATATTTCCGATATGATCCAGATTAATTAGGAGTGCAATTTATCCGGGTTCGGTCAGCGCTTTTGAGAGGCGGGGGTATTCCGGTTATAAATTCTCGCCCGTTGGGAAAGTCAATTCCTGTCGGTAAACAAGCGATTCATTCGCCTACTCGACGGGGGCTTTACTTTTTTCCTCCCATCCCGTCCAAGAAAATTGGCGTTCGCAGAAAAGACCACATCACCGTCAACGAAACCTCTGCTCGAGTGACCGACGATGTTTAACTTAACCTCAAAATAAATTCCTATACAAGTAACCTCCATTAAGCCGGACAGGTAGGATCGGGTGATTTATCGCGGGTTGGGGGTGAACTTCCCGAAGGAAGAGGAAGAGCTTTCGACAGAGAAAGGCCGATAATTTCCACCGTGCTTCGCCATATCTGGATAATCCGAGGGCGAAGAGCACTTCCGGTCCAGGGTGTTCCACATCGATATCGCGGCACTTAGCCAACTAATCCGTGTGTGGTAGCCTATCATCTATTTGAAGTCTCTTATCCGCCATCTTGATACTAGGATTGTCCATTCCTAATATCAATAAATAGTCCAGGGAACGTAATAACAATGAAGCATTAAAAATTGCGCTAATAACGTATCGACCGAAATTAAAAACGCCCCTATCGAAATATCCCGATTATCCATATTTTATAATAAAAGGGAGAAATAATAGACGCTTCACCTTGGAGGTCGCGTAAAAATAATGACCCATACGGAAATCCATTTTGCCGGGGTCTCCGAAGAGAAGCGGAGGAGAAATTGGACGAGATGGATAGAACGGCGGAGAGAGGAGAGAATAGTCGAAAGTGGCAGGCCTCTATTGTAGCGGGACGAGCTTTTACACCGTCGATGCTCGGAAACAAAGGAGAACACTTTTACCAACGAGCGAACCGCACAAAAAAACCGATGTTACTACAGTGGATTCGAATTTCCAGCGTGCAGGGGTACAAGGCTACGAACGGTCGGGCGTTAGCAAGCTGCTCGTGATGCTCGCTTCTCCGAACGAAAAGGATTTTAAATATTTGCCAACCTTGCCTGCCCCCGCGAAACGAAACCACCGTGAACCAAAAAGAATCCCCCATACCCAATACAGGTGCCGTCATTAAACAAAAGCAAAGATATACAACGTGCGGGAAAATAAATTGAAACACATTTTCACGTCTGGATTTGAAAACCGGCTGAAACGACTCGACCTGAAACCTGGTCTTCGCTAGTGCGAGGAAAATTCCAAACGAGAGGAGCCGCTTAATGAACGACGTTACTTCGACAACATACATCGCGAGATTATTGCTTCAGCCGGCTAAATTGTTGATCGACGTCCCAAAGCCTCCGGCTTTCACGGTAACCACTTTATATGGAAAGTGGGTGGGTATAGCTAGGGGATTTTTAAAATTGACTAAAATGACCCGAGTATATAGCGATCGGGACACCATTGACGTCCGCCGGCAGGAGTAGCGGGGTCAGTGGTACCAGACTCGCCAGTAGAAAAGACCGTATGCAGTCGGACGGCCGAGTGGCCGACAGCGCTACCAACCGTACAGCTGATGCTCGGCCGATCAATACGGGCGTTGCGGCATGAAACGCTACGGCTACGTCACGGCCTTAGCCCGTCCCATTCTGAGACCGACCGTCTATTGGCTGCTACAGGTCGTTTCCGCCGACCTGTACGACCCAACTCTGCGCACAAAAGACTCTCATCGACCCGATATCGGAGGATCGCTGGGAAAATGTATCCGAGCAAAGAAATAAAAAGTCCAATCGCGCTTCCCTCCTCGTCTTGCCAGTCAGGTTGGCAGACCCGGTACACACCGCGAGTATAGATTCTTCCGGGTTAAATTAGCTCCCCAGAGCTTCCCCGAAATTCTGCACTTGCATTTTTACTTCCGACCGAAACTGTGAACTAATTATTATGTACCGGGAGAAATTGGCTACTACAGGTCGTTTCCGCCGATCTGTACAACACGACTCTGCGCACAAAAGACTCTCATCGACCCGATATATCTGAGGATCGCTGGGAAAATGTGTCCGAGCAAAGAAATAAGAAGTCCAATCGCACTTCCTTCCTCGTCTTGCCAGTCAGGTTGGCAAACCCGATACATAAAACGAGAGTAGATTTTTCCGGGTGAAATTAAGCTCGCTCGGTTGCTCCCAAAATTCCACGCTCGCACTTTTACTTCCGACTGAACGACCCTTAAACCATTCGAAGGAGTCGTTGAAATGGAAGATCGTCAAGCTTCGAGCGTTCGTTTGAAGAGTCCCACCTTTTGTTCATTTTCTCCTTAAGTTGGCTCGAGGGCTCCGGCATTTAATTTCGTCCTTTGGGAATAGTGAACTTTGAATTAGTTATTATATACCCGGGGATGTACCACGGGGGAGACAATGGCAGGATAATTACACCTTATTCCCTACCTTAGTCGATATTGGAAGTCTCGTGCGACGAAATTAAAAGTGCCCACGGTTTTTAACAGGTCACGGGGCAGGTGCCTTACTTGACGCACCGGAGGGTTAACTTACGTAATTAGCCGATAAAGGGGAAGTTGAAAAGGAAGCCTGTAGGCCATTCTGGAATTAAGGGTCAATTTCAGGGAAAAGTCCTCAAGAGAGTTTCTACTAAATGAGAGGGTCTCAATCTCCGATATTGCACGTTTAAGCACCGAAAGCTCGTTCTCGCGGACGAAATTGCAATTCAAGCGATTCTCGATACCTTAGAAATACATCAATTAAATTTCAAATGTTTACAAACGGTAAATGTTGCTATAAAAGCAGAACTTATTGGGAGAAATGTCTTTGTTCGCGAACTCCACGGTGCCGAAGGTTTGGCTTTCGCTCCACGATATTTCCGCTGCATTACCGATGTATTGTTTCCAGAACAAACAATGCACCCGATTGGAAACAATAATACGAGAAAAACGAGCTACCATTTCTCGCAATCACTACTTCCCGTGGGATACCGACAGCCATTTCCGAAGATAACGAAATGGACATGAATTTTCGTGTACGAAGTGGCCTATTTGTATTCCTCTTCCCGAGTAAACTTGGGCAAATTAGCAAATAGAACTCACAAGCTCTTGAATTATTTCCGGGCAGAAGTAGGAAGTATGCCTTCACCCCTAGCTCTCCCAGAAGGGACTGTTAATTATTTACAAAAAGCAAACGCGGTATATTTGCCCTTAGCAGTTTCCTGTATTCCCTTCTCGTCCTTTTGCAATTTATCTCCGTGTATTATCTTTGAAGATTTATTTCTATCACTCCCGAAATAGCCGGTATTTCGTGCAAAGATCGATCGAATATATCTATCCTCCACACGAAGTAACCTAAATCGTCTCAGAACATAGACTTCGTCTAAATCAAAGGGTCCCGGAGTACATTTCTAGAAGGTTGCCTCAATCCTCGGTTTTGCAAATTGCCCAAGGGCATAACATGCAAATGCGTATTCGAAGTCGCGCGCAAGAATTCCATCTACTGCTTTAATCAGGCAACATTCCCAAAACTCGAATGGACTTTTCCTCTTATGCAATTACGCTCGTGATCAAAGCTCAAACTCGAGAGTCCATATTTGCCCCGATCTGTGCCTGCAATTGTCGAAAACTGCTTCTCTTTCCAAGGAACATATTGACTCTGTATAGTAACAATGGAAGGACTCTTGAAATTCAGGAGGTCCTGTCAAGGGTGGAGGGAACCATCATTCGAACTTCCGGAGAACGTGCCAAGACTTTCGGTGGAAATCGTCCGACCACTTTTGTACAATGTATTTCCAAGACAGATACAGAGCAAAGAAAGTGATTTGCAGCTAGCCATCGATTTTCGAAAATTCCCCTGCGGGTCAGATCAAGGCCGGAGATTTACGGAGCCCTCACACGAGATCGTGTAATAGCAGGGGATCCATCAAAGTCGAAGCACGAGAAGAGAGGTTAACGTGCCCCTTCTATAAAACGCGAGAAATTCCAGCGTCTTTCCGTTAATTTCTTTCGACGGATCTAATATATCGCAGGGGATTCACCCCTTCGGAAAACCTCGAGATAGAAACAGATAACAGAACAGTGACGCAGCCGTTCCATGGATATCAGGGCAGATGCATCACGTCACGAGTCCATGTTCAGGCTTTTTGCATCAACAAAGTAGATTTCTCCGCGAGTATGATTTTTCTCTTCACTCAAACCTGGTGCCGTCTCCAGTTTGACATAAAAGGTTAAAAAGACGTAATAAAGATCTTTCATTAACGAAATAATTGACCTATAAGTAGCACCGAAGCATTGATAAAGACATTTAGTTGGTAATAATTAACCAGCAATACCTTAGCGTGAGAAGTGTGGCTGGCCGCAATGGACGAGGCAGGTTGCTGCTGTTCGTTGTGTAGGCTCCTTTAACTTTTGCTCCCCAGCATCTTTGCTCCTCGATTTTGACTTTCCACCCCCGACGAGTCGACCTCAAGTCTTCATAACCTCCGACCCATGGACGATGATAGTCCGCGTCCGAACCCCGAGGGAAAGTTCATCTGAAACCTAAAATGCAAGAAAATAGTAAATGACAATGCCTTGAGAAAATGTAGAAATGCAACATTCTGCAACGATGCGTCGCAGGGTAAACGCAGACTCCTAGGAAATTCTCCGGTATGGGGGAATCCTCTGGATAGGAGGATTCTTGGCCCCCTGGGATGAGCCTTTTATAGTCTCGCCTCCTTTTTCCCTCCTGTTGTCCGACACGAGGATTATTTTCGGACCAGTCGCGTGACTAGACTTTGTTACTACACCTACAAGAGATAAACTCGAAGCTGCTCCTCTTTCTTCGAGGCCAATCGAGTTAAAGGTACATAAAAAGATATCACCAGCAATTATTTCACTCATTAAATCGTATACATCATTGTGTCCGCGCACAAGTCTCATCCTTAACGGCGCTCAACGTGTTAAAGTTGTTGAAAAATATGCACGAAATTTTATAAAAACTCGTATATCTGTCTCAAGCTTGACAGCAATGTTTCTGCCTTAAGAGATACCTGTTCGCACCGGTGGACTTAAAAATACGGTCTCGGTAAAGTCCATTCAACGTGTTCTCCAGTGGGAGTATCCTTGGGCCATTTCACCAACTTTCTGCATTTACGGTTTCCATGAGCGTGTCCGAACCGCCGAGTTAACGAACAACGAAAACGTCGAGTCGGGAAAAATAAAAGGAAAGATCGAATGGCCGGCATAATGGAGGAAAGGTGTTCCTTCCAACCGACATTGGACACTTTTCGACAAGCCACCTCAGAAACAGGATACGGTGACGACGTAACAGGACCAAATCGGTGCAGAATTTCCTGTCATATTATGTCCACAATAAATTTCATGATTAATTGAGTAATTAAACGAGTCCTTCATTAGATCTCTTTCGCAAGTGTAGAAGGATAATTGCAGACGAATTATGAAATATAAAGTTCGGCCGGATATTGCCAGCTCAAACTCGACACGTGGGAAAAGTTTCCTCTGCAGAAACCGAAATAGGACTTGCTTGGAGAATTCGTCCTCGGTCTTAGAATTTTTCATTGGACCCATTTAGATTGAAATTGTGCCGTGCCATGCGACCGCGTTACTTTCTGTACCTAATCAACTGTACCGTGCGCATTATTCCTATTTTATACCGCCACAGTAAATCTCGTTGCTTATTAGGTACGTACGTGTCGCGAAGTGCCTTTTGTAAGGAAAGGAAGCGATAAAGCCACAAAGTTCTCAAAGGAAAGTTCGTCGAGATGCTATCAGCCAGGATCGCCAGATAGAAAAGCGCAGCTCGCGAGAGTCATGAAATAGCGGCGATGCAATTTCGGCCTGCAGTTATTTGCAATAATAAGGCGGTGCATACTTTGCCTAGGTTAGTTATGACCCTCGAAGGAATCGAGTATACATATTTCCAAGGGTAAGAAAAATTCAATATCGGAAGGTCTCGATTTTTATTACACGCTAGATAGTCGTTACATAGGCACTGTACATTTAAAAGGCATAGATAAACGAAACGTTTATCAAAATCCCATCGATTTGACGAACCTATTTCCGAATTTCAATTATTACACGTTTTGAAGGAAATATTATTAAGCATTTATCGCGTCTAGTAATATGAAAGATCCAATAACACTTCTCTCCCCGTGGAAGCTTATTACACCTGCTGTACCTTCATAAACACAAAACTGGGTCGGAGCTTTGCATTGCTCTGCGCGAAATTCTGAAGGCATGACAACAGATGTTGCGTTATCAAGAAAACACGCTGCGACGCTGATGAAAGTTACTGCACCAGCAGTAATACTCTGAAAATTCTCTTCGACAGACGCATGTATAGAAATTGAGTCGAAATACAACTATTAACTGAACCTGGTCTTAACATAATGCAGCGACGGTCATGAGACGTGTTACCATTTCCGATTCACGTATTTACATAGCTTCGGAATGTATGCGTGATTACATCCATATACCCCGCAAAAGGCACGTCAGGAATACTCATGGGGAATTCTACATTCACGGATAAATTGCCCTATAGAATACATTAGTAAGAAAAGCATGGACACGGAATATATAAAGCCCGCAAGCCCAAAGAATTCCTTGATATTCTTGCGAAGAGAGGAAAACAGGAAAGCTAATCCTTTTCCGTATTTCTCATTTCCACCCTTACTTTTTACTATTTACCTCAAATATTATAATAAAAATACTTATTATCTCTGAATTACTGTCTTCATACCCTCTATTTCATCTAGGTTCCATGTTCTCTAAGTACGAGCGATAGGTTCTCCATCCTTGGATAAATTGTCCTATAGAAGCCCATAATATCCGCGAAAAAGAGCGCAACATGAGGTTCAAGCGACGGCTGCAGTGCTGGTTATTTATATCGTGACTATAGAACTCGACGACGCCGTGCACGTTCCATGCACGTTCTATGCACATGCGACAACAGTCGTCGCTACCAAGGGGGCGAAGGCACGAAGAAAAGGGGTGGTCGGCGGATAGCCTTGGCCCCGTGGCCCGATTCGTGCACGCCCAGCTTATATTATGCTTACAAGCTTAGGTTATGTCTTTATGCCGCCCGGAAGGGGACCGACTGGAGTTTACAAAGGGCGCCACGCGGCCGCCGCGCGAATTGCCGATCGATGATTAGACCAGAGTCCGACTGAGCGCGGCGGGTCGACGCGTCGAGAATGATACCAATCGGAAGTACACCGTTTAAGTTCGAAAATCCTCGGTAAAATTAAAAGAAGGAATCTAATAATGTAAATTACAGCTAATGTAGCGGAAGGATTTATTATATCAGGAATTACATGGGATCCTTATAAAATGACCTCATATTTTAACAAAATTCTTGTGAAACTTCAGGTTAAAAAATTTCAGTTTCGAATTCACTCATCCATTCAAGTTGTCACCGATCGTATCAACTGCCGTTGATATAAATAGGTATAAATGACTAGAAACAAAGTTTCAAACCCCAAGTCATTTGCAGTTAGGAATTCATTTTTAATCCATTCGAAATGTAAATATTTATATATTCTGGTAATTTCTTGGGAAAAAAGTGGCTTGAAGTAATTTCGACCATTTTCCGGTATTTCATAATTCTTCTCGACGTAACATCCTACATTTAAAACATTAAGCGTCGCGCGTCACTTCTGTCACGGTTCCGATTGATTTTTCGCTCTTGGAACGGCGCGCCGCGCTTCGTGTGACACCCGACGCGCTCAGGTTAGATGAGACGGGTTGCTCGAGATCAGAGAATCCGCCGCGCGAAGTTTGAAGTCTAGATCGACGGAGGCAGATCGAATCGCCGATCAAGAACGGTAGAGGTTTTCCGTGACACGTGACAGCCTTATCGAGCTGAATTATTCCATAGAAATCCTAACCCTGAGAGGATTTCTCTCGTTCCACGGAAAAGAAGCGCCTTTGGCGTTCTCTTCTTCCCGGAAGGTTGTCGACTCTCCCAGTCGCCCTTGACCGTCTGTGTTTACAAACAGCCATCTCTAAAATCTTTATCGACCCATCTGGCAATATTCGGGACCGAGTGGCCGTCGAGCGGTGACACGCTCTCGTTCCGAATATCCTTATCGCAGAGTTATCGCCTCTGGCGACAATCGAAGCAAACCCGTCGCAATAGCTGATTCAGCCGAGCTACGGCTCGAGGCGCCACCGCGACCAGCCTTAGGAACTCGAGGGATTATCGGGAGCTGCAGCTAATTGGATCGCGGCCGATCGAAATTCCGGCAGCGGGTGTTTATCCCGAAAATCCGATTTCACGGACGCAACCGTCCCGGAAACTGGGGAATTATGGCATCGCGGATGCCGTCGCGAGTACCGCCACAAACGGTTATCAGTTGGGCGTCTCTGCAGCCGCCCGACTGTCATGGTGGGCGATCAGCTGTCCCTACTTCCTGAGGGTCCCATCAGGAAGGGGATGCGGAAAATCGAATCGGCCGAAGTTTCGAGCTCGGGTTCACCGAAGGCCGTTCCTGCCTCTCGGAATTTAATCGCGGAAGCTCTTTATGGCTCGCGTAAATCTCCCGCGATGTCCCGCTCGATAAATCCCGCGACTCCGGGCATCGATCGATCAGTGCCCGTCGGCCACTTATCGATTTACGACTCGCGCCTGGGTTGCCGTAAATTCAGACGCGAACCGGGACGCAGGCCACGCATTTGCGTGCTCGTCCTCGCGAGGACGCAGCCAGGACTCGGAAACGTCTCTCCTCGTATTAATATGCAAATCCCCATTATGCCAAAGTGCCCTACCTGCCGGGCGATGTCGATTCTCTCGACTCGGCCCGTAACGGCTGGTGCACCGGAGGACTGCCGCGCCATGTCTGACTGTGCTCCCGGAGGCTGGTACATTGGTCCCACTTCCGCCTCGATGAGGTGTCGACGAGGTCGGAAGTTAATTAAAACGAGGGGAATCGACATTTAGAGGGGCTCTGCAATTTTTCGGGAAATATGGCCCGGCTGGTGCGGCCATGTACCGTATTCCGCTTCTAATGAACATGTACGCTGGCAAGGGGAGGTCACATCAATCGAGTCGGGGATTTTAATGAGCTTCATATACGTTAATCTAGAGCCGAAATAAGCCGACACGTGTCCAAGCATATATTCGAATGAGTCTTGTGTCTTGAGTTATAAACAATTAAAATTTCATGGATAATGTGAAGATAAATGTAATACGCATTATGGCTAAATGTAATACACATGAATAAAGTCCGCTTTTGTTGAGGTCGCTACATTGTCCCAATAAAAAGTCTGCTTAGAACGGTAAAATATGTTACATTGATTTATTTATATACTTATACCCGGCTCCCTGGTGGCGAAATCAAGGGAGCAGTCTATAGCCGTATCACCAACGGATTGTCTAAAATGTCTGTAAATAGACCGCGCAGAGGTAAACTTAAAGTGATATTCCCGTATACCAGGGTTATACAGGACTCGGGCAGTAATGGTCTTTCCTGCCCCTACCTGTACTCCACCCTCAGCTATATTCTTTGCGACCGGGACTATATTGTCCTCTGTGAACGCAA